CTCTTTGGTATGTCACTATTCAGTATAAATATTTAAATTAAAATATAATAATGAGGAGAGGTAGATACAGACCATTAGTGTGTATAAAAGGCCTAGAAAGGCTCACTTATATATGCAATGGAAATGACTGCAAACTGGTAAGAAAAGAGAAAAATTATCGTATTCTTATTTGTAGAAAAAGAAAACAAATCTCTACCTTATGCAATTATTCTTATGCAATCTTTAGCTTATACAATTAAAAAAATCAGTACTAGTTAGAATAAAGAATTAAAGGCAGAAAACAATATAGACAGTCCTGCTTGCATGATAGCACAGGACCATAAAAATGACTGGGTAAGCTGAAACTGTACAGAATGATCTTTATAATCAAGACAGAAAATTCTGATTGTTTTTTGATCTAAATTTTCTTTTCTGAAATGTTAAAACTCTCTTATTGTTGCTTATAAATATGTAAGAAAAGAAAAAGACAAAATAACCTAAAATTTATCTAGAATAATGTTCATGTGAAACATAGGGAATATTGGAGGGCAGTGTTCTGTTTCCTTATTAGAAGCCTTATCAAGCATGGTCTAAATAATGTTTGCCTTCTTCTCATTGCACATCTCCAGTGATAATGAGCAAGTGTCTTTCCTATGGCTTGATGCATTGCCGAAAGTTCGGATTAGTTTTCAACAATTTATCCTTTCTGTTTTGAAGGTAGCACTATATCTCCAAAGGATTTTTAAATGTGCGATTTGTTTTTTGTTCTTTTTTGCTGAAGTCATTTCCTCTGAATTATCATCTTTGTCATCACCTCCTCATTTCTGTTGATAAGTTCATTGTTTCTCTGGCTACATATCTAGAGTCTATCAAATGTCAGCAGTGCTTATATTCCCATGTCAGCCCTTTTATTTATAACTCCATTTCTATTCAATTTGAATTTCACTTCTCATGTCATCAGTTTTCTTTTCATTACTTCATCATTTTTTATCAGTCTGTTTTTTGATTATCCATTCTTTTAGATTGCCATATGGGTTTATCATTGGGAAATTATACAACACACCTGCATGCTTTGCAGTCTATGCTTGAACTGAAGGAGACACAGAGAATATACTGGCTTATTACTGATAGTGGTATGCATCTTTTATTTATGTGTAAACTTATGGACTGAAGAACTATAGTGACATTTGTACTTATTCACAGTTAATATATCATGGCATCTAAATTTTGAACCATGTTGTTGGGCAACAGGTGTTACTTAACAGAACCATAGCAACTGAAACTTAGAACCATGCAAAACAAAGAATATATTTACTTTAAAATGTTTAGAAATTATAAATGAATTTTTATGCTCTTGGGGTAGAAATTTTTTTAAGGGAAACTCCAATATACCATAAAAGAAAATATCAGCAAAATTTTCACATTAAAATTAAAAATGTATTACTCACAGACACCACAAAACAGAGATGATAATGGTCACAAAATTTACTTTCATAAAATGTGAAGCATTAAGCAAGATGTAAAATAAAAATGTGCAAAGAATATGAATGGGCAATAGAAAAATAAACAACTACAGTCAAAAACCAAAATATGTTTGAACAGTTAAATGTGTCTTAAGAACATAAGTAGACCTACTAAATTAGTTAAAATAAGGAAGCCTAATAATAGCAAGTTCTTAATAAAATAGTTATGGTAAACTATTGGATATCCTCTCACAAAGGTGGGATTTTTGTGTACTCAAATTTTGTGTGTCTGGCTAAGTCCATTTCATTGTCCTTTTGAAAGATATTTTGGCAGGTAAAAAATTCCAGGTTGACATTTTTGTTTTCTTTTTAGTACTCTAAAGATGTTTCATTGTCTTCTAGCAATTATTATTTCTGATGAGAAAGCAGCAGACAACCTTATACATTTTCTTCTTGTGCAAAAATTGACTTTTTCCTCTCTTCTATTGTTTCTAAGATTTTCTCTTGTTTATTCAGTGTATTGTTGCAGTTTCCATCAAATTTCTTTTGTTTGGGGTTTACTGAGAATCCTGGAACTGTGGGATTATACTTTTCATCAAATTTGAAAATTTTTAGCCATTATTCTTCAAAATTTTTATATCCCACCATTTTCTCTCCTTTGATAATTCTAATTATACATATAATGTATTGATTTTAAATTGTCTTAGAGGGGCCTCCCTGGTGGCATAAGGGGTTAAGACACAACCTATGAAGCTGTCTGCAGCCGCTGTAGCACAAGTTTGATCCTTGGCCCACCAGGTTGCTACCCACATGGCACAGCAGACCTCTCCTGACTTGCCCGCTGCTCCCCTCAGCAGTGTATTTCAGTCAATCTGCCTGTTCTGTTCCCCACACTGTCTCTGGTGAATATGCTCAACCCCCACACCTCTGGCCTGTACCCCAGCTCTTGTATTCATAAATAAATAAATCTTTAAAAACTTAAAAAAAATAAATGTCTTAGAACTCATTAATGGTCTGTTTTTATTGTTGTTTTTTTTTTCATATACTTTCCTCACTGTCTTTACTTTTTGATAGGTTTATTCCCATGTGCTCAGCTTCCCTAATTTTCCTTTCTATATTGTTCAATATGTTATTAACACATCTCGTGCATTTTTAAAAATATCAGACACTCTAATTTTTACCTCTAGAAGTTAGATCTGTTTTTTTAAAATATATTCTATGTTTGTGTATAGCTGTTTCTCTTTTCCTCTAGGTTCTTGAACTGAGAAATTGCACTAAGAATTGCTTTAATACCGTAAACTATTAATTCTCTCATTGGTCTGTTTCTCAGGATTTTTTTTCTCATTACATGTCATATTTTTCTGCTTATTTTCATACCTGATAGTTTTCATTAGCTGTGAGATTGTGCTTTATATTCTTGCTTTCCTTAAATTAGAAAAAAAATTGACATGAGTTGCAGTTATTTTGTATGCAGTTTATTTCTTTTTAATTCTGTTCTTAAGCTTTGTTAGATTAGACCAGATTAGCACTTATTCTAGGGCTATACTTTTCTCTTTGTTGAGGTAAGGTCCTTCCTAATACTCTGTTATTAGTATTTAAGGCTTTTATAGTATTAGAAACTGATCTCTGAATTATAAAGTTGTCTACACTGTCTTGGAAATGAGCATTATTGTTCACCCTGTGTGATCCATGAGCACTGTTCTCTATAATCTTTTTTTTTTAAGATTTATTTATTTATTTATACAAGCACTGAGTACAGTCAGAAGCACGGGAGGGTGAGAGAACTCACCAGAGCCAGAGCAGGGAGCAGAACAGGCAGAAGGACCGAAGTACACCGCTGAGGGGAGCAGCGGGTGGCAGGAGAGTTCTGCGCGCCATGTGGGACCCTCACCCGGTGGCCAGGGATCACACTGGTGCTGCATAGGCTGCGGGCAGCTTCGCAACCCAGTGCTCAACCGCTGCACCACCGGGGAGGACCCTGTTCTCTATAATCTTTTGGCAGTTTTTCCGCAACCTCAAATAGCTCCCTCACATGCATGTGTTAATCCATTTGTACTCAATTGAATACATGAGAGGGACTCCGCACATCTCACTGCTTATCTTTTTTTTATAGCTTTCTCACTAGTATTTTACTCCATGAACAATAGCAGCTTGTCTTCTCCACATTCTTGTCTCTGTTTCCTTCTTTGTACTAAGATGTAGACATTCTCTCTAGCAAGTATGATGGTCATTCATAAGTGTCACCTCATTTATTTCTTGACCCTCATGAATCCCTTTTCTTCTTGCCCAGTGAACAATGTCTCCAAAGACACTGTTACATGTATTTTCCTTTTCTGTTCATGTGAGAGTGAAAATCCAGTCTCTTCCATTCCAACTTGATTCAATGTGTATAATACTTGTTATGGACTTTTAATTTGTCCTAATAGCATAATTGTTATTGAAAAGATCATAAAACTCAAAATATGCAATGCTGTCTTAGTAGTGAAGTAGATTGTAGCAAGTTCATAGATATCGCAGGTTGGAAAGTGGTATGACTCCTTTGTCAGAGAAAATGATTTCTAACATTTCTAATATTTGTCACCTTTGCTAACTTGGAAAGCAGACCATATGCCTACTAACTTTGTAGTTCTAGAGGAAGCATTTGAACAGAGGCAGAATATCAAATGTGTCCTGGTTCCTTGAGGTTTATAGCAGGGTACTATAAAATTAGAGATTGGCTTAGACAAAAATTGGATACTTTACAAGCAAGCAACAGAAAGAGTTCATAGATTCAAGGTCTTTAGTGTTGGAAAGCTAACTACAGTTGCCCTTCCTCCCAAGAATGCTGTTTCAGATAGCCTCAAGATAAATTCCATTAAGTATGTGTACAGTGTGAGGGGTGGGGAAGGAAGGGAGGAAGTAGGACATAAAAGTAAATGCATACAGGAGGAATAAATACAATTCTCTGAAAAGATGTTGATGTGATTAGTAGCACATAGATTTGACTGTAACCAATTTTTTCAGAAACCTGTGTTTGAGAGAATTATGTTCCTGGTGAAATCGCAAAGTTAGCCTTGAATGTCTGTGCTTAATTGTTACCTAATGTAACTCTTTGGAAACCAAACATACAGTGTTTGAGAGTATGCTGCAAAAATATTATTATTTCAAAAAAGAGACACAATTTTATGCCCTTTAAACTGGGTATTCGAGGATTATGAACAGGTAAGAACATCTCAGTAGGTGAAATCACACATAGGGAGAACAATGAATGATGCGGTTCCATTTTGCAATGTACTTTCTCCATTAATTACAAATAATGTCTTCCCCTTATCTCTTCAACAGTATTCCATCATTGCTGTGTTTCAATTTCTGCTGTGTGTTTCACGCTTTCCCTTTTCTAATTGGGAAATTTTGTTGCTATTAGTGTCATTTGCCTTTTGTTGTTATTACAAACTGGTATTTTTACTTTATTAGTTGCTGAAACACAAGTATCTACTTCCTGGCCTGATGGAAAAGATTGAGATTACTCAGAGCTCTTGAATTTTGAGCTGAATGTAATGATTGTGTTGTGTTCTCAGGTTTTTTTGTTTTTTGTTTTTTGTTTTTGTTTTTAAGGAAAGCAGAGGATATATTCTAAAAATGGTAACAATGTAGATGGGCATTTGGTGATCAATGGACAAATGGTGGCATGGATGGCTGACAGGCCACAAAATATATCCTTTTTTTTTTCTGAGAACGCAGGTAAGCTATTTTTTCTTGGCTTCTCTTGAACTTAGTTTTGGAAAAGTATTAAAAAAAACTCTGGGCAACAGGATGTGAGTAAAAGTTATGTGTGTTAATCTGCACTGGAGATTTTAAAGCAGAGATGTATTTCTCCACATATTTCCTTCATCTAAAAACACATGCATCTGTGCATGACAAGACATTAGAAGTTGGAAGAGCCACACAATAGATGGAGGCAGAGTTCTTGAAGTCACAGCTTTTTAAATTTGTGCACCAAATTTCCCATTGTGGGAAAAAACTTTATTGTATTTGAAGTTTTTATATGGTGATTTATCATGTTACAATTAATGTACCATAATGTCCAATAATTTCCTAGGACACTTTTGAGAATCTGTTGCATATGTACACTGTCATATATACAAGAATATATGAAATACTGCAGTTCATGAAAACAAAGTTATTCTAATCACATTACATTTCATGTAATCACCTAAATTTATACACAAAAATAAGTCATTCCATTATAAAGTCAGATTTAGTTTAAAACATTTGGTTTGGGCTAAGATAATTATAAGCTGAATAAATCTCCAATTGAGTACTTCCAAGATCCTTTTATTTATTTATTTTTAATTTTTATTTATATGTTTTTATAAGATCCTTTCATATACCACCAACCATATCCTTAAATTTCTTTAGTATATTTTAAGTTATTTATGAATCTACTATTTCAAGTGGTCATCTGATTATAATCTGTGTTATGGGTAAATTTTTTGCTAATTGATAAATTTCATTTTATTATGTGTTCTATAAGTGCAGTTTTTTTCCTCAGTTGAAACAATGGCAGAACTTTTAACTAGTACAATCAGTTTTCTGTGATATTAGTAAATGACTGCATAGCAGGACTAGGTCACATGTCCTACAGCTTGGGGGCAAGGAGAATGAAAGGAATCCTATGTTTTTCTAAGTTCATATATTCATATTTTACTCGCATAAGCCTGAAAGCGATCTTCCAGATTGATCAACCACTAGATATGTTGAAGAAGCACGACTATGATTCCCATTGTTCTCATGTGGTTTTGCGTCCCTTCTTTACCTCTTTGCATTCCCAAAATTAAGTTTGTAATTTCTGTAGACTCCATGGCCTCTCTTCAAATTTGATTTCAAATGTTACCATATTAAGGAATATGTAAAAGAGTCAAGTAATTTTATGGAACACTACTTGTCTTTAATAGCTGTCTTTAACAGCTAATCTTTCTAAACAGTAATCTCTGAGAAATATAATATTAGGTTTACTCTGACAGTCATCTTTCCTTTGTAGTTTTCTTTCAGACAGGACACAGTTCAAACCATTACAGATCTCCAATTGCATAGGTCTCCCTCCATAAGTTTACGTGAAGTTTGGTTATTTTCTAATCTCTTTAGTTCCTGCCATTAAATATTCTCAAAACTTGTAACTATAATGGATAATTCCATTGCTTATGTTTTTGTTGTTACTAGTTAAAACCTAGGGAGTGATCGGATTTCAAAGACATTGGTACTACAGTGTTTCGGTTGAGGGGAGATGGAAGAGAGAATATGAGAGCAAAAGGTGTATTACAATATTGTTGTAAAGAATATCCAATCTAGTGTTGCTAGAGTAGCCAATCTAGTGCTTTTGTACAACATTCGTGGATTTGAGTGGGGAATAAGGTGAAGGCTGCACGGGATGCAGATCTAGTCCTGTCAGTCCCAATCTTTCTTCCTCCTAAGCAGCTTCCCTCTTATAGTTTGTATAGCAGGAGGCTTCAACTTAGGATTTTCCTGCATGTAAAACATTGTGCTGAAAATGTTTGCAAGTGAATGTTTTACTTCATTACTGTTGTTTTACAAATAAGCATACTGAGATGCAGAGAATTTATGTGACTAACCATTGGCTGCAGAGTTAGTTGCTGCATTAGTCAAATAAATAAACTTCTATTACACAGCAGTTTATGCTATTATTCCTGCCCTTACAAATAGAAAGCTGGGTGGATCTCTCTCGTTAGAAACAGAAGAGTTTCTTCTCTGTCCTCTTTATTTTTAAGGAAAAAAAAAGGCATTTAAAAGAGATTGTGTGACTGGCAGAAGGGATAGGAAGCTAGGTCAGCTGATTTCCATTAAGATCCCCAGCAATGGGATAACATTCTCTGTTTATTACATAAAGAGTGCTGTTTAAAAATCTTGTACCCCTTGGTGGAGGGCAGAGGGTACCTTTTTGGTTTTGGTGTGGTGACATGCATCTGAGATGTGATCCTATACTCTTGAATCACATACAGCTTTTAAACCAATGTTACTTCAATTAAAAAAAATATATATATAAAATCCTGTCCTCCAACTTTTCAAAATGTTTGCTTGTAATAGGGCTGTGAGCCAAATTCAGTAAACAACAAATCAGGAGATACATACACTTCTGATTTTTCTGAACTCAATCCAGAAACCGTCAAACTCAACCTGGAAAATTGTCCCAACTTATTCCAGCAGTGTTGATCAAGGAATAAGATAATATGGGGTAGACCTTATTTTCACAGAGATTGGGGCATGTTACATGTCATGATTTCATGTTCTATTCCTTTCCAGTCAATATAATAAGGAGAGAGCACCAATACCTCATACTTAAGGCATAAAAGTAAATATAAAAAAGGAATAATAATATTTTTTCATATGTACACACAATCACTTTCTTTTGGTGTGATATTATTGAATGGTCTGAGGCAAATGGTGTGAAGGTATTGAATAAATACTATAGATTCAACTGAATATATTCAGAATGTTCCAGGAGGTGTCTATTTTACTCTAGAATGTTGTGACATAGCAGCCTATATAAACAGTCAGTAATGTCTACTGTTGGGAAATTATGACCCTTATTTCAGTTGTCAGTTAAGAAGAGATCCAAAATGAAGGATCAACAGGACAACTAGAAAATCATGTTGGTGTCCTCAAATATATCAGTTTTCAAAATGACACAGCACAGTAAAATATAAGCATTTAGTTAAAATAAGCAAGGTAACCTATGGCTATTAAAACATTTACCTATGATTTTAAGAAATATACAAGGTAGCAAATAGGATTGTTTTTTTTTTTTGGTTACACTCAGTCCTTTAAAAATCTCTATAACTATCTGTTTTTTAAATAATTTAAAAAATCAATGTAAAAACCTTTTTGGTAAATTGTGTTTTGATAACCTCTCTACAAAAGCTGTTCTGGGCATCCTTCACCACTTGCCTGTGTGCATTATCTGTAATTGTCTTTTAATAGACTGAGACTAAATTATTAGAAAAAAAATTGCATCGCCAGGGAGTAAGGGTTGTCAGATACTACTGAGATGTAATACATCAAATGCTCAGGTGTTCAGTTTTATCTCATAGGCTGTTTATTTTTAGGACATACATTTAAACAAAAAAGTTTTCAACCTTTGTAACCTGTTCTGATTTCAAATGAGCAAAGTAATGAGCACTAACAACAAGGAAAACAATAGAATTAATGAGTCCTGGAGAACAGCAACATATTAGATAAAGGGTTTGTGACTTAAAGATAATACAAACCTATTTTTTTAACTGGTCTCAAAACTAATTAAAAGTTCTCAAGGAGTTTTCTTTAATAGTTAGGATTTTTAACTGTTTCACATTTTTCAAGAGATATGTGATATTTGTAAATGTATAATTCCATGATTGCCAAAGATCTGTGTTTTGTCTTACTTATTTACATGAATGTAGTGTAATTGTGGATAAGTAATACATTTCTAAAATAACTCTACATGGCCAAAAAATTAGTAAAATGAATATATAATAAATTATATTTGCTCTAATAGAAAGTCAAGAATTTTGAAAATTGGCTCATTTTCAAATTCATATTTTTTTCAGCCAAATTCCATTCTTCCTGAGAATTTTTAATTCATCTGGACATTTTCTATAATCCATATGAGGTACAAACACCTGACCAGGTCTATTTCCTCCTCCATCATATTTTAGAATCTCTGCCATATTCTATTTTTTTCTCTTTTGAGATAGCCCTATTATTTCTTCGTCAGTATTCATCAAATGACAACCTTATGTTCTTTAAAACACAGATTGTTATTTAGCCTCTCAATCTTGTTTCTGATCTTAATATAAGTTGATTATTCGGATCCTTTCGTTCACCTTTACTTTAAAATATGCTAATATGAAAGCCTCAATATTTATAGTCTTCTTGAGTCAGCAATTCCATTTAAAATTTTTTTTCTATGAAAAATGTATGCACAGATTCTGTTAAAATAAGCTTCAGTGCATGATGCTAATTAGTTAAAAATCACCAGGAACCAAATATCCAATAAGTAGGGGTAGACTAAATAAATTATTGTTTACTGATTCATTAATTTATATAATGAAATAGCAAAAATAATTTAACAGTATTTATGGAGCTGAAAATATATTTTAAATATATAAAACTAAATGTAAATATGTTCAGCATTAGGCTATTTTTGTTTGAAATACAAGTTTTCAAATATGTGATCAGAGAAAAAGTACAAAGCATTTACTCATATTCTACATATTTGCTTGGTGGTGAGAAATGGTAATTTTTAATTTAGTTTTCTAAATTATTAAAAATATATTTTTATGAAAAAATTTATTTAAAAATATATGTGATCTCCTTTTTCTCCACAACCTCGCCAACATTTGTTGTTGCTAGTTTTTTTAATATGTGCCATTCTCACTGGTGTAAGATGGTATCTCATGGTAGTTTTGGTTTGCATTTCCCTGATTACAAGTGATGTTGAACATTTTTTCATATGCCTGTTGGCCATTTGCATTTCCTCTTCAGAGAAGTTTCTTTTTAGCTCTTCTGCCCATTTTTTGACTGGGTTATTTTCTTTGTTGTTGTTGAGTCTCATCAGCTCTTTGCAGATTTTTGTGATCAGTCCTTTATCATTAGTGTTGGGTGCAAAAATGTTCTCCCAGTTGGTGGGGTTTCTCTTTGTTTTTGTTATTGTCTCTTTTGCTGTGCAGAAGCTCTTTAATTTGATG